ACCATCTTTACTGTAATTGAATTTATTGTGAAAGTGAAGTAAATACAAAAGGCTGTGAGCCGCTTTTCTGCCAATTCAATTCTACAATTTTACCTTTCAAAAGTTTATAATATATCAGGGAGAAGAAGGGACTCCTCCTGGTAAAGAAAGTATATTATCAGTGTCTATAGTCCAGAATATTTCTCAAATTCGCTCCTCTTGCCAATATCCATCATCATTTTAACTTCATTTCTATGTAAAAGGTTGATGCATTTGGTTTGCTAGGCTGATGGATTATTTTGTGTAACTACTACGATTTTGATCTTATCGGGATGTAAGAAGTTCACGGTCGTTACTTTCATTGTTTAATTTAAAATGTGACATCATGTTCAGTATACCAAGATTTTTCGATTGATTTGGGACATGATTTTCAGATTGATTTGTGCTTTATACCAAGATTTTTCGATTGATTTGTGCTGTAAAATCTGTCATCTTCAGGGATGTTATTTGCTTTGATTAATTTTCCCTCAAGAATGTGACATGCATGCGAAATTTGGCTAATGTCATGGATTAATAGTTGGTCAATGCTGTTAATTTTCAAGACCTCATTGGCATTCAGATCGATGGATTTTAACACTCAAATTCAAGCATTTTCTTCTCATGTCCTCAATTTAGAGTTCTAAATTGAAATCAAGTCACAATTTTAGCACAAAGTTACAATTTCAGGGGGACGCATGTGGTAAATCACATTGTTAACTTATATGTGCGAACTCGAAAATATTGGACATATTATGAACACCATTCGAATACATACAACCTAGAAAGTCATGACAATAAGTCACATACACAATGTATTACAAATAGTCTGGGTCACAATCACAACAATAGGTCAAAAAGTATTATATTACCGTCACAATTTAACATGCCAATTGCTAATTTTCCATGGTCAAATGACTTTTTTCATATTCTTCAAATTTAAATGCTACATAAACTATAGATAGTCCTATTTACATGAATTGAAGTCATGGTCACATAAACTTATAGATGACAATTAAATAATAACTTGCACAATTTGACAACATAATTAAAAGATCACAATCACAATTTAATGCACAAATTATTAATTTTCCAAGATCAATTGACTTTGTTCATATTCTTCAAATGCACATACTATATAAACTATAGATAGCCACTTTTACGTGAATACAGTCACAAACTTAATAGTCACAATCAAATAATGGCTTTAGTCTCAATATCTTTGCCTGGAGGCAACATTTCATTCAACACATATTTCATTGTGACTGCGACATATCAAGAATCCAACACCAATTATGATGTT